TGTACTTTCATTGTTTGTGAAATTTTATGTATTGTTTGTTTTTGTTTCTATAATTATTGTTTATTTTATACATAAGGATAGACTATTTGCGAAGCAGCTAAATTTCTTTCTAAATCCCAATTCCGATACTATCATGTATGTAAGGAAAACGTATTTATTTATTTATTCATTTTATTTATCACCCCAGTAGACAGATTCTTTTCAGCGAAGGTTGAAACGACTATAGCAGCAAGACTATCTTCGCGTGAAAAACACCGATTCGACTCTTTGCACCTGTATCGTTAACTTTACATCGAAGCCCATTTATCCCTGCGTAGTTAGCGTAGCTTTAACGGACACGTAACTAAGGAGTATCCGGAGAATCACGGAATGTTATCGAGGTTATTAAGGAAATGGCTGACGCCTCTAGGGGAAACAGTTTAATTTCTATGTTGCCCCTCAATCTACTTTCGTTTTAATTTCACCTGCGGCTTATCTTTTCTTTGTTGCGAATATAGGGCATGCTAGGCTAAACTAGGAAAAGGTTGCATTATTTGGGATGTAAGTACATGCCGTTGAGAAATTTTCACGGCTGACTGAGATATTTGGGAAAAGGTAAAATTTGGCCAAGTCATTTCTGACTTCATTTTGTGAGACTATCATCAACTCTATTTTTTTTATATGGTCCGAAAAAATGCACAGCCTGTATCTAATAGCATTTTTTATACGAGTTCAACGATGTATCACGTGTTACATTTATTTTCTTTGTTATAAGGAATCATGAGTTTTTCCTGATATTTATTTGCTTTCAAGTCCTACGCGTTGCAAATACTCGTAAATGCTTGACTCAGCTGTCACCGAGTATTGTCATTACTGTGTATCATGGTATTGATTTATTATCATCAAATATGACAGCGGTCATTTTAGCTATAAAGTCAGCAACAAAAGTACTAAAAATACTGCAGAAACATGTCTTGATGAATTTCTTGAAAGAAGGCAGCCATGTAAGTCCGTTTTATGTGGGTTGGCTCTAAATTTGAGTGAATATGATGCATCCAACCTATTACCTGTTACGTCTTGAAAAGAAATATTTAAGGGAAACTCAAAAGAGTGTTTTACAAACACAAGCAGTTGCTGAGAACGCTGAGACGCCATCTAGGTAAATTGAGAAAAATAGTACCCAATCGACAGCGCAATTGGGGAAAGGCATACCGAAAGAGGAGAGACTGATCCGTTGATCAAAAAAATCACAACGGCGGCTAGTACAAGAGGAAGACCAAAAGTAAGATGGAAAGACCACGTATGCACAGACATAGGCAGAAAATTTTGTAAGATTAGGGCAGACTGGAAGTCACATGAAAAACGATAACAGAAGAGAAGGAAGAACATGCGGAGTTGTCCCCGCATTCGATGAACTGGAAGTGCCCAAGTGCAGCGACAATCATTCCTATAGGAATGCGAACGCCGTTTACCTACTTTTACCTCCAATCGCTTATGCTTACAGCCCTCCTGCACACTCCACCCAATGACTCCAATAAAGTGAGCAAACAGCGAGAAATTAAAAGTAAATCCCCAACCGGGCAATAAAGTTAGCAATGCCTATTGCGGCCGCAAAAAACCTGTTAAGCTTGCAAGAATAATAATTCAGTACGGGACTGAATCGTAATGATCTCCACCCACAGGGTCGATAAACGACGGGGCGTTATTTACCTTTGTTGCAGGATTTATTCAAAGAGCAGCGTCTCTTGGCTTTTGTTATTTTTTTTTTTGTTGGAAAGGGTTGCTTTGTGAAACGCTTAGTCTAGCGTGACTTTAAAGGCTTATCATTGTTGCGTATTTATGAAAGGATCTTTTGATGTGACGAAAGAACATTATCACTTCATCAAATTAGAGTAAATAGGGGTTGTTTGGTAGAAGGACGAGATTGTAGCTGTAAAGGTAAATAGGATTTACAGGTCAATAAACAGTAATTTATACTTTCACTTTTTCAATAATGGTGAATGTATTTGTATATGTAGTGTTGCCTTATTTATGAAAGGATCTTTTGAAGTGACGAAAGAGCATCATCACTTCATCAAATTAAAGCAAATAGGGGTTGTTTGGGAGAACGACGAGGTTGTAGTTATAAAGGTAAATAGGATTTGCAGGTCAATAAACAGCAATTTATCCTTTTACTTTTTCAATAAAGGTGAATGTTTTTGCATTTAACATATGTAGTGTTGCGTTATTTATGAAAGGATCTTTTGATGTGACGAAAGAACATTATCACTTCATCAAATTAGAGTAAATAGGGGTTGTTTGGGAGAAGGACGAGATTTTAGCTATAAAGGTAAATAGGATTTGCAGGTCAATAAACACCAACTTATCCTTTCACTTTTTCAATATTGGTGAATTTATTTGTATATGTAGTGTTGCGTTATTTATGAAAGGATCTTTTGATGTGACGAAAGAACATTATCACTTTATCAGATTAGAGTAAATAGGGGTTGTTTGGGAGAAGGACGAAATTGTAGCTATAAAGGTAAATAGGATTTGCAGGTCAATAAACAGTAATTTATCCTTTCACTTTTTCAATAATGGTGAATGTATTTGTATATGTAGTGTTGCGTTATTTATGAAAGGATCTTTTGATGTGACGAAAGAACATTATCACTTCATCAAATTAGAGTAAATAGGGGTTGTTTGAGAGAAGGACGAGATTGTAGCTATAAAGGTAAATAGGATTTGCAGGTCAATAAACAGTAATTTATCCTTTCACTTTTTCAATAAAGGTGAATGTATTTATATATGTAGTCTTGCGTTATTTATGAAAGGATCTTTTGAAGTGACGAAAGAGCATTATCACTTCATCAAATTAGTGTAAATAGGGGTTGTTCGGGAGAAGGACAAGATTGTAGCTATAAAGGTAGATAGGATTTGCAGGTCAATAAACAGTAATTTATCCTTTCACTTTTTCAATAATAGTGAATGTATTTGTATATGTAGTGTTGCGTTATTTATGAAAGGACCTTTTGATGTGACGAAAGAACATTATCACTTCATCAAATTAGAGTGAATAGGGGTTGTTTGGGAGAAGGACGAGATTGTAGCTATAAAGGTAAATAGGATTTACAGGTCAATAAACAGTAATTTATCCTTTCAGTTTTTCAATAAAGATGAATGTATTTGTACGAGTATATGTAGTGTTGCGTTATTTATGAAAGGATCTTTTAATGTGACGAAAGAACATTATCACTTCATCAAATTAGTGTAAATATTTACTGAAAATACAAGAACATTGTTTTATTAAATAAAACTATAAAAACTATTGACTGCTCCTTATGTCCCGTAATTATAAAAATAATAAATAAAAAAACTTTCTTATAAAATGTAACAAACAATATAACAAAAATGTTATTCTATGGAATGAAAAAACCGTGATATTAATCAGATCCGGAATCCCATTTGTCTTAAATATTTATGTATCACCTATAAAACTCACATGAGTACGTACGCTGACCAGTTAGCTTCAAACCTATGCTTCTTGAATACCGCGTTTTTTTAGCATCCGACAACCCAAATTTCTCAGTATATGCCTGTGTTAAACTAATTGAATATGAAGATTAATTCATAGCTGACTTGTTCCCCTTCTTCTTCTTCGCACACACGCTCCCTTAAATGCTTACTCTATGTATGATGTTTTGAAGAAAAACTCTTCAGGATGATCCTTCCCAACTTTGACAATCTTAATGTCATGCCATTTATTCTGGTTTTTCTGTTCATCTATATTGGATCCCGATGATTCTTGCAATGCTTTTACATAAAAAAAAACTTAGTATTTGTCATTTCTACGACTATGTGAGGTTTCCCGTCTTTTTGGTTGAACCAAAGTTTTGTACTGCTCTGGTGGAAATGTTGAATTCGGTGTTGAATATCCTGTAGTATGTGGAGGACGAAGCAATGATCTGTCACTTGAAGTAAACTCCCTAACTGTTTGAGCTCGCAAGTAATGAGACTCTATCCTTGGAATTGAGTTTATAAAATCTATAATACTGTGTCAATAGCTGAATGGTGGTAATGTTTTCCTCTCATATCAGCTTGGATAACTCCTGATTCCGATTTTTTAGAAAGAGCGGTCTTTATTGCTTTATTGCTCAAATTAAGGGCGGATTGGAAAAATGTCTTGCATACTCTTTTTCTAACTATTAGGTTTCGCCGAATTTAAGCAGCAACTGCTGCTACTAGATGAACTTGAAGATGGTTTATTTGGTATGACCTTGAACATGATCTTGCTTTTAGAAACCAGTTGAAAATTAGGATCTGCATCGGAGTAGTCAATATCACTTTCATCACTTGGTGAAATATAATAGGTTGGACCAACAGGCTTCTGTTGCATGGATGTGCTCGGAAGAGATTTGTCAATCGCTGGTAATGCGCTATGAGTCTCCTTAAATGAGATTCCGTGACTTAATGGAATGTTGAGATCACCTTCTAGAGTTTCATATTGAGTGACTACAGCAGGAGGACTAATGTTTTACTTGTCTTTTTCTTTTACCATATTAACTAAAACCCATCCACGTTTCATTGTTTGTCTGGAATGGAATTTGATTCAAAAGTTGTCGCTAAATGGCTTTAGTAATAACAGCCTGTCCTTAACTACGTCTTATTTACCAGACAGGAGACAGTATGTTAGTTTTCAAAATTGTTTAGCTAACAAGTGAACACAGGTGTATTTATTTGAGGAACAACAGACCGAAACGTCAACGGAAGGACATGATAATTCGAATAATGCTGAAGAAATGGACAATGTTGTCAAAAATATACAGCCAGAGAAAGAGAAATAGCGAGGACAGTGTAAGAAAAATGAAATAGAGCAAGATGTTCTGTTGAAAAAGCAGCTACTTTAATGACTAAACCTATAGATGAGTTCCAAATTTTTGGAGATTTTGTTGCAAGTAAAATTAGAAATCTAAAATCACTCGAATGCCAACGTCAACTAAAATTAACCATTCAGCGTGCTATAGTTCAATTTTCCGAACTAGATGTTTCTTCTCCTTCAACATGCTTATCATCTAGATCCCGATCGGCTGCATCGTATTATACGTCATTTGTAGCAAATATACAAGAAGATAATGTGAGAGGTACTTAACATGTATATTAAGTGACATATAAATCCGAACACCCAGTTTAAATGGTTTTATTTTAATAAAATTTTGTACTTAATGAAGCATAATAAGTAAATGATAAAAATTTCAAAATGATTGCACTACTTTAAAGCCCTTTGACCTTGAATAATGTGTGGATGCACCCTGATGTGCTACGCATTCTCCAACGCGCCTAGGCATGCTTCTGATCAGGTGGTCAATGTCCTCCTGTGGTATCTCATTCCAGGCAACCACCAACTCCTCTCGAAGTGCTTCTAGAGTCTGAGGAGGACGTTGCAAATTGAGCAATCTCCTACCCATCAAATCCCACACGTGCTCAATTGGGGATAAGTCGGGAGATCTTGGTGGCCATGGTAACAATGTGACATCATTATGTTGAAAGAAGTCTATTGCAGCATGTGGTCGTTGGAAAGTTGGATCTGCCAGGGTGTCAAGATATGGTAAAAGATGGGGTTCTAGAACTTCGTGGATAAAACGCTGCGCGTTCATGTTACCTCTGATGAAGATTAAAGGTGACCTGGAACCATAAGCTATAGCACCCCAAACCATAACTCCAACAGTGTGATGAACATGTCTTTCAATAAAAAACTGTGGATTCCTCCTTTCACCACGTCGCCTTATAACCCTTGCACCGACGTAATCGCCTTGAGTGGTGCAGACAACGGTCACTCTGGGATCAGGAATGGAACAGTATTGTCTTTAGTGACGAGTCTCGATTTTGTTTAGGCATGCGCGATGGTCGTGCCAGGGTTAGAAGGCGACGTGGTGGAAGGAGGAATCAACAGTTTTTTTGTTGAAAGACATGTTCATCACACTGTTGAAGTTATGGTTTGGGGTGCTATAGCTTATGGTTCCAGGTCACCTTTAATCTTCATTAGAGGTAACATGAACGCGCAGCGTTATATCCACGAAGTTCTAGAACCCCATCTTTTACCCTATCTTGACACCCTGGCAGATCCAACTTTCCAACAAGATAATGCCCGACCACATGTTGCAAGAGTCACAATAGACTTCTTTCAACATAATGATGTCACATTGTTACCATGGCCACCAAGATCTCCCGACTTATCCCCAATTGAGCACGTGTGGTATATGATGGGTAGGAGATTGCTCAATTTGCAACGTCCTCCTCAGACTCTAGAAGCACTTCGAGAGGAGTTGGTGGTTGCCTGGAATGAGATACCACAGGAGGACATTGACCACCTGATCAGAAGCATGCCTAGGTGCGTTGGAGAATGCTTAGCACATCAGGGTGCATCCACACATTATTAACGGTCAAAGGGCTTTAAAGCAGTGCAATCATTTTGAAATTTTTATCATTTACTTATTATGCTTCACTAAGTACTTATACAAAATTTTATTAAAATAAAACCATTTAAACTGGGTGTTCGGATTTATATGTCACTTAGTATATATTTGTTAATTAAATAAACCATTACCGCTGAAGTGCTGCAATTTTGACAAATAAGAATTTGTCAGCAAATTAAATTTACAGAAATTTACTCTTCTTCACCCTAAATATAAACCTATCAAAATTGTGTAGAACTTAATCGGAGACATATTCAGACAGAAAATTGAACAAAACATGTTAGTAAAAAAATCTTACCCTTATATATTTCTTTTTCAGAACATCGAACAATGCACTATAACACTCAGGAACAATCGCCGCAACCGTACATACAGGGATTCGGAATAAGTACATTAACGAATGATATGAATCACCTGCAACAATTACCCTACATGAGGCTACATGTAAAAATACTCGTATATTTGATATAATACACTGAACATATCGTTTAATAAATATAATTATATTTGATAATCTGTGTAACATTATGTCCTTACCTGTTGCTAAAAATCTTAATGTCAATCAGAGCCGTTCACTAGCGGTAATAGCACAACGCATTTGTGTAAAGCGATATTCTCAAAAGGATAAAAAAGTATTCAGGTAAGAAACACAATCTGCAAGAAAATCAACGTTTTCAAAAATGCTTTTGATTTTAAGTAGAACAGCCTCATCTTGTAAATGTATACAATGCAAATATGGGCAGCGTTGATCGTTGTGATCAAAATATAGGTCTGTATCGCATTTCCATCCGGGGTAAAAAGTGGTATTTTTCATTGATCAGCCACTATATTGATATGGCTGTTCATAATTGCTGGCAACTTTATAGATTGCACGGAGGACATATGGAGCAATTATTATTTAGACGGTGGCTTGCCACAGCCTTATTACAACAAAACTAGAAACCGCCATCTTTTTCTAGAGAACATCCTTCGGCTAATGCATATATAGATATTCGCTATGATCGTTTAGATCATTTTGTGATAGCACAAAAAAAGCCCACTAGATGTGGCTTATGTCATGATAGAGCAAAAACAAGGTGCTTTAAGTGCAATGTAGGGATGCATGTAAAATATTTATTATCCTTCCATACTAAACCTTAATGTTCGCCTATGTGCCTAGTGTACCATATCTTGTACGGCATTTTTTACACTTTTTCCTAAAACACAATTTAAAAAATAATAAATTTGTTTAATATATGCTTCATATAGAATGAATTTGCACAGAACATACTTTATTATAATTTGTTTGAGCTAAATCATAACGTTCATTTTGCTACACCCTGTATGAAGAAAAGAGTTGGGTAACCCTACCGCGTTACGTAATCCAGCTCAAACACTCCGTTTCTTTTGTCCCACTGAATAAAACTACAACACCTCGCGGCGCCTTAGTATCGCGCAAAACATCGTAATGTTGTTAAACGCCTTCTTTCAGCGCTCGGCGAGGCGTTCTTTGAGAAAGACTCGTAGAGCACTTTTTATCCGCCTGTGTCGAGCTTTAAATTTCGTCCTAATATTGTCATTTCACCGGTTGCACCGGCGCGTCTTCTGGAAAAAGCAATAAAGGATTCTATGTTCTCATTGTTCAGGATTTCTCCGTCGCAGGTAGGAATGTGTGTTTGCGTATCGTTCTCAGAGCACCCGGGCTCATATCCAGGAGTGCTCGAGGTTTACTGACGATAGATTGGAAGAAGAAGTCTCTGCTATCCATTTTAGTAGGAAAGTGATTTGCAGAACAAGTTGGTGACTTGAGACCTATCAGCATTTGACCAGTTTTCTGCAAAGCATTAGTGAAAATAAGGGTTGTCCAATAGGGACGCAGGAAAGTAAACGTCAATTTGACATAGACGCCATCTTTGTTTTCTGTCACCGACATGTCATTTTGTTAGTTGAATGTTTACCATTGATCGCTATGGAGTCGTATTCGATTGAGGACCGCATTAAAGTTATTCAAGAGCACTACAAAAATGGTGCAAAAATAAAAAACACGTTTCGAGCGCTTCGTGAACATTTCGGTCGCAATAACCGCCCAAACGAAACAACCATCGGTCGTCTGGTGCGTAAATTCGAGGCAACGGGTTCTGTGGCAAATCTGCCAGGCTCTGGCCGGCCAAGGAGCCTTCGCACACCGGAAAATATTGCTGTTGTGAAGGAGAGTGTGAGAGACGATCCGAAACAATCAACAACGCGTCGATCCCAAGAATTGGGCATTTCGAGAACCAGTTTGCTCCGCATTCTCCACAAGGATTTGAATGTACACGCCTACAAGATCCAATTGACGCAAGAGCTGCGTCGGGCCGACCATTTTTCGCGCCGAACGTTCTCAGATTGGCTCCTTGAACACCGCCAAATTGATGCCAATTTTTCATCAAAAATCATGTTCAGCGACGAAGCGCATTTCACTTTGAATGGGACGGTAAACAAGCAAAACTGCCACATCTGGGCGAACGAAAGTCCCCGTGAGTATCAAGAGCAGTCGATGCATCCTCAAAAAGTGACTGTGTGGTGTGTATTGTGGTCAAAAGGCATCATTGGACCTTACTTTTTCGAAAATGCCGCCGGGGACGCCGTTACCGTTAATTCTGAGCGATATCACGTGATGATAGAGGACTATTTTTTGCCGCAACTTGAAGGAATGGATATGGACGATGTTTATTTCCAACAAGACGGTGCAACATGCCACACAACCAACGTCAATATCCATCGATTGCAGTCCTTCTTCGGTGATCGCGTGATTTCGCGCAGAGGAAATGTGCCATGGCCACCAAGATCGTGCGATTTAACTCCCTTGGACTTCTTTTTATGGGGATATTTGAAAAGCAAAGTCTACGTCAACAAACCAGCCACCCTCCAAGAACTCAAAAACAACATCATTGCCGAGATAAATGCCATAGAACCGACCATGTTGCAAAATGTCATTGAAAATTTCGACCATCGCGTGGACGTCTGTAAATTCAGTCGTGGTGAACATTTGAGCGATATTATTTTTCATACATAAATGGTATAAATGAACCTTCAAAATAAAGTACCCAGCTTGATTTGAATATCAAGCTTTCTTGTTTTAATATGCGTTTACTTTCCTGTGTCTGTTTTGGACAATCCCATACAAACAAATTTTAGAGTTTGCTTGTACTAACAATATGTTGCCTGAGGAGCGGTTCGCGTTCCGAAAAGGACGTAGCAGTGTTTCTGCACTATCTGGATTTGGATAACAATGCAACAGTTCTTGTCTCTCTCGATTCTAGTAAGACATTCGACACCATAAGTCAAGTGTACTTATCTCGGATTTGATAAACTGGCGCTACTTTTCCTAGCGTCATATCTCAAAGATAGACAGCAACAGGTGGTTCTGGGCACAGGTATTTCAAATTTACAGAATGTTCCTTCAGGGGTACCACAAGGTTTAGTGCTGTGGCCCATCTTGTTCTTGATTTATACTTTTGATTTGGTCGTCAAAATGAAAAACTCCAGTATAACTTGAAGATACTCAATTATTGTTAAGCTTTCCACTCATGATTTTATAATGGTTGAGGCGGGAACTAATATTGATCTGGAAAGTATTAATAACTATTCTGATACTGACAACAAGAAAATCAATTCTCAATGAATCAAATGTTGTAGTTTTTTGCAAGAATGGAAAACGGAGCCTGTATCTGAAAATAGGCAGCACAGGTATGAAATTTAATGATGTGTGAAATAGTTTAGGTCTACTCTTGGTCGAAGACCACGTATTCGCACGCATCTTGATACAAAATTAAGGTTTATTGAACATGTTAAAAGTCTATCTCAGAAAACCTACCTACGGCTGCGCACTCTTATAGCAAACATTGGTCATATCTATACTAAATTATTGTAATATCGTATACTATACTTGTTTAGACAATTTCACTAAAAACGTTATTCAAGTTATTCAAAACAATTGTATACGATTCATTTTTGGCTTACGTAAATTTGATCATGTATCGGCGAAATATCCCGTTCTAAACTGGTTAAAAATTAATGACATGGTCAAGTATCACTATTCAGTTTTTGTTCACAAATGGCTGCTCACGTCTAAACCTTATTACTTGAAGGAAAAGATTTCATTTAATAATGATGTTCACTGTAGAACTCTCAGAGAAAATAATATTAGAATACCCCTGCATACGTCTACTCTCTTTAAACGCAGTTTTTCTTACAATATTGCTATTATTTATAATGACCTTCCTAAAGTATATAAAGAATTTTCATTACCTGTCTTTCGACAAAAAGTTAAAACATTATTACTCAACCCTCCAAACATATAATTTACGTAATAATTCATTTCTTTTTTATTCCATCTTTAATTCAGATTAATAATTTTTTGGTGCATTTGGGTTTGGAAAGTATGCCTTTTTCTCTCTTTTTTTAAATTTTACTTTCGATGTAATGAACCAAATCTGTTTGTGGATAGTGTATTCTTTTGAACATCTGCTAGAGACTATATGGTTAAGTGTAAGAGTAGCAGCATGCTAAACTTCGCCATATAAGTCTGACATTTAGCTATACTACAATGTAATTGTGGATAAATAAAGACGTCTATTATTATTATTATTATTATTATTATCTTAACAACATTATCAAAACATGCTGTGCTGGACTAAAACTTTATGTACCAAAAAGCACTTCCTCAGCTTCAAAGCAAAAAAGTGAACATTAGAATCATTAATCATGCTTCGATCAAATGTTCGCTTACAGGCTACAGAAAAATCAAATTTCTTATTGCTTGTTAACCAAAAAACTTGGATTATGATCGTGTCACTGACCTATTTGTGAAATTCATTATAACCGCTCATTCAACGCTACGTTTATGAAACAAACTAACATTTGGAACAAGCATTCATGATCTTATCACAGACACAAGCACTTATCCATGACGGTATTCGAACCTCGACTGTTTGCTCAACAGGAGGCAAAGTCTTCGAAACAAGGGTGTAGAATAACTAGAAGAAATAATTCTATAACCTTTCTTGCAGCCTTTGGCGTCTGTTTTGATATTTATCTACTAAGTCAACTTCGCGTTTAATTATAAGACTGATGGAGGATGGCAAGACTTTCGCATTTTTTCTCCTGAGCGTGACCTGGGGAGCGACTTTCTCATTTCAGGAATTGACTCCCTAGAGGACAATTCTTCAAAACAGGCCAACAGAATAACAAGTGGAGAGTGGATCGATTCTATTAATTTGCTGGGAGCATACCTGATAACCTCTATGAAACAAGATTTTTTGGCAAAACAACGTGTTGCTTAGTTTTTACTCCGCAAGCTTACTGGCGGTTAGGTATTTCAATTAAGAAAAGTTTATACAATGAGATATCATGCTTTTTATATCACGGAATACCATGTCATTAATTTTCGTCTGTCTGTTTATCAGGCCGCTAGTCCTTGAAAGTGGCAATGTTAATGTATAGTTTATTTTGAAATCTTAA